AGTCTGTGTCGACGGACAAGCCAATGGCATTGTTGTCTCTGATCAGCCGCGACCGGTAATCAAATGCAGTCGATAGGCGTCGTCCACTCGAGGCGACTAGGCTCACAAGAGTGGGGAAAAGTTGCTTTCACCATGAACATAGTACAGTCCAACGTGCTACGGCGACCAGCCAAAAACATCCCCAACTTTTCTCTTATGAGTACTGTCCCTATGCATGAACCTGTCCATGGCGGCCAGTTTTTGTCGGTCCCTTGAGTGGTCACCTTAGACAGGTTTAGTCAAACCTGCAAAGCATACAACATAGGTTTTCAAAAGGTTTTCAAATGTTAAACAATGTGTGTAGTGGGTTGATAATGTACCCACTTGGTACAACAGACCAGCGTTTATTAGAACAAGCCCAATTCGACAAAATCGAACAGAAAGCAAAGTGGACTTAACTGCGACGCGTGACAGTAGGTGAGTCACTGCGGTAGTGTTCTATTGGCAACAAGTGTGGGTGACGATTGTTTTAATAAGAACAAACAAAACCACACAAGCTAAAATAAAGCTAGCAGATGCCAACGTTCACTGACCACTTTTGCACAACTGCCGAGTGAACGGACCTGTAAGCGGATACGATGAGTTGATCGCGTTGTTTGTCCGTAACCAGGCCATCACATATGTCTAAACGATTTGGCACCCGATCAGTCCTGCAGTCAGCGTCGATCAGCCACGGTAGTGGTCGTGGTACAGTCTCGTGCATAGACACATCGGTACGTGGGTGGACACGGAGGCGAATAGATGGATTCCACCCTCAAGGCTAGCACATCGATAACAAGCTGGCAACTTGGAGTTAGGCTAAGAATGGGGCAATTCAGTTCCCGTGCATGGGCACAGGTCAGCGCGAGAACAGAGTACAATTCAGTGGCTATTTGCGATAATCCCCTAGTTTACTAGATTTCATTTGGCAAGAGAAGACAGTCCAAAAAGGAGGCACAAGTAACCAATACTAGCGGAGCGACGTGGAAAACGAAGAAAATAACATGAAGCAGTGCCGTTTAATTCGGGCTATAGAACTACGACCCGGACACTGAAGCAGCGGTGGATCAAGCTTCCAATCTCACGTCGCCGGGATGCCAATGAGTCGGACAATAGTGGTTGAATGCAAACAGCGTAGAGGAAAGGGTGCCGAGAAAAGTAAACAAACTTAATTTAGACGGAATATTAATAGGCAGATGCAAGAAACCGAATAAATGAACACAACGGTGAGACTGCGATATGTTTGATAAGGCCTCCAACCATTGATGTAATCCATTCAGAGAGGCGCCCAAGTGTCGCCTTCAACTTCTTCAGTGCTTTGTGTGATCGGTCGGCCACCTCGCAGTTTCCTCCAACTATGTGAGGCGGTAGCATAAGCTCACAGCGAGGAAGCTGATGAATGATCTACATAGTATATGAGCTAACAAACGCATGTGATTCAATTCCAGTACCAGTGCAGCACCAGATGTTTTCTTTCCAGATGCCAATAGATGAGCTTCGGTAACGTTCACCTAGTACGTCCACTGGTGAACAGAGAATAGACCACTAAACGCCTTCGGGGCGAGGTGGCTGTGTTTCTAATCCATACCTTAACATCGGTTTCAACATAGCGTTGTGTACACTCCCCGTCAATCACAGCTTGGTAACCCGTCGACTATATAGATGAATGAGACTCAGGGAAGTCACACGGATTTCGCTGATCCGTGCAGCAACCATTTTGAATGATTGTTCCGTGATAAGTGGAGCCGACGGCGTGTCGGCAGTCCTGCAACAATAAATGATGCAAACCAAACGCTGGAGAGTACGACGTATAGCGTCAATCCATCCGGAAGCGATTGGACAGAGAGTGGATCAAATCCAAGAGAACTATGTTGGTCGCGCCCTTCAGGTTTGTCAGCTGTCCATCCAGTAGAAATTTCAATCGAGAAAATGTTCAGGAGATACAGTTATCTACCGTCATTTTGACTGCAAAGTTAGTGACGAAAAGGGATACTGAGCAGCCCTGGCGAACCCTACGCGTAGTTGGACCTTAGAAAGAACCTCGTAGCAGAACCGTGACCGGGCCTTCAGAGTCGCAATGAACAATGGGATGTCCAATCATAACGATTTCAACGATAGGCAGAACCACAAGCTGGCACAATCGACTGAGCTGATGTTGCTTTTCGAGTCCAGAAAAATCCTAATGGCGCATTTCCCGTACGCGTGTCGCTGTTCCATCAGACGAGGGAGCGGAAACATATGATCAATGCATCCTTAACCGGTCTGACTCACACTGTCTCGGTTATCAAGAGGATCGGCGGGATGCAGCAGAATGACACCTGTGTGATAAGTTTGAAAGCAAGGGCACCGACTGTAATATGAAACCCTGTGACAATTCTTAAAGATAAAGAAAACGGTTAGCAACAACCAGGCCAAAGGCAGCTGCTAGATCATTAAGTCAACTCAGTCTTTCAGAAGCAAGTGAAGTAGGTTGTCGGATCCAGGTGTCTTGTTTCATTTTAAAAAGAATGAGTTCGTGTGAAATCTACCAATATCCTACGCAAGTTGAGGTTGTCAGGTGAACAATAGCATCACAGCAAACCATACGAACTGTTCCTAAAAATGATCCGTCCAACGGACCACTCGGTGAGGTTGAGAAAGGACCGAGCATCTAGTTCCCTCAGTTATTATCTTGTTAACTGAAGGCTTTCTTGGACTGTTGTTACAGTCGAGATGGCTGCTTCCAATCCACTTGGCTTGCTTTATCTCATGGGTCACGGTCACCCATCAACGTTCCTAGCCAATTCCATAACTTCTAGTTACTCATCTTTTCAGGGTGCTACAGGCAACCTTAAACTGAATACACAACAAAACTTGATAAATTGATCCGGCTAAACTATTCGACGCTTCAGATATTCGTCTACAGCTCCGACGTCTCAAAGTTGGGCCTATAGAAGGCTTCTAAAGCATTCCCCATTGCAAAACAGAGACGATTTCAGGGCGCAATCGCCACACCCACCTTGTGCATTGGTGAAAGCTGATTGACCGGTTTATCTGAATATGCCTGAATTGTTGAGTGTGAAGCCAGGTAAGGAATGAGTGGCACCGGAGCTGGGTGTCTCGCTGAAGTCAGAAGAACGAACACCATGCATGAGCGCATGAGCGAAACCCAGATTTGCCCTCTAAACCGGTTGACAATCCAGATGTGATCTGTGCCATCTGTATCGTAGTTTAGTAGGCGCCATATGCCGCGAGATTCTGAGACTAGGTTGTGGTCAGCACCTAGATGAAGTGATGGATCTTCACTATCAATCCGGAATGTGTCGACACTAAAACGGTCACCCAAAAAGTCGACTAGGGTAAGAGAGTTGCCGACAGAATTTATCTTTCTGTTTGGTTCATCGCAATTAGATTACAAGCCGCATAAGTAAGCTACCAATCCGGAAAAGCACCAGACGATGGTTTCGTCCTATTGGACTCGTCCGTGGTGTGAATTCCATCGAGCCCCTGCTGGGGATCGAATAAATGACCGCTAGTGGCTTGTACTACTAGCCAGCAGCTTATGCCATGATATCTGATCATCATGTATCGAAATCTAACTGTAATATAGCCCGACCTATCCTCCACTGCCATGCAGGTTACTGACAGTGCAGAGAATTCGTCTTTGATAACCAAGGAGCTGTAGTCGGTTGAACTATGCACGGAAACAATAAAAAGGCACTCTATCTTCAGGCGGTGCTCATCAACTTATAAAAAGGTCCGAAGTCGAGCCGCCCATATCTGGTTTTCCATTGGAATGAATTCTAGTAGACTGCCTCCAACGTAGCCGCGTAGGACAATACAGACCATGTAAATAATTTGGATCGTTCATTCGCCAGATATGTAAAGAGTATGGCTGCCATCGACAGATTCAGAACCGCCCAATCAAAAATATTCTGCAGCGCCGCCATCTTGAGTGTGCGTTTAGGCAGCGCAGAAGGCAACAACTCCGAAGGACTGAAGAATGAGAATTGGCGCTGCCCGTTGACCGATCTGACGGTGTGAGATGAAACTCTCGAGTCTGAAAGACGAGTCAGATGCACCGCTAGCATCAGTGGTGAAGTTAACGATAGTCCCTTGTTTACTAACTTCAGACGGGAGTTCCAAGGGGTTAAAGAAAACAGTGTTGGTGATGGTATCTTACGTGTGGAAGATTTAATTCGGCCATCCCTTCCAAGAGAGAGAACATTTGTTCGGAGTGCTTTTTGTTCCAGCCTGATCCAGAAGGCAACGAGTCAGGTGGAGGTTTGATCGATGGACGCCACTCGAAGCCTTTTGACTAGGTAGTCAGACGCACAAGGCAGTGGAGAACACGTTCAGTGCGGGAGTGGGGTTGCAGAGTCCCATTTGGGCTCGTTTGAGACCTGTCACACGTAGCCAATTAACGATCAGTACAATACATATTTGTTTTTATACTGTAATTGGGAATAAAACTGCATCCACGAACAATCCAAGGTAGAATTTGTTGTGTTGGCAGACCAGCGAGACAAATCGCAGTGCACGTTCTCCATACCAACTGTGTTGGGGTTCACAACCTACTTTCCTGCTGTCAACCATGGCTACTTGTGAAATGTAGAGGGCTGTCGAGCTTTGCTAGTTCCCCAATAGGGAAGACGCTGAGACTGAATTTGCCTGACCTCTAACCTATTTGGCATGAGTAGCCTCGGGGGAGCATGGAAGCTACCACCCATAGTGGCCCACCATTGTATCTGATGTACACAAACCATCGCCTTACGTTAGGGCAGTCTAATCGCGAAATGGAGTATACCAAACAGCTGTGGAGTGAAGATGTGTACTGCTATCACACAGTAACACGCCACCCATTGGCAGACTTAGTTTCGTTTACTAAAATAAAAGGATAAACGCAAGGTCTTATCGGGGAATGGTGAAAATAATGCAGTTTGCACATCAGAAAAGTACAATGAACAGACAGTGCGATCTACAGCTATCAACGAAAGACTCACCTGTATTTGTCCAGTCGCTTTGTTGAATGCTACGTGTAGATCGTGTGTCACGTGAGTTGGCATGGAAATTTCAGGTTCGCAAGACTTTTCAGTGCGATGGAACTTCGGCAGTCGAAACAGTTTACCTAAATCGTGAAAAATGGTGGTGATATCAGAATGCAAACAGGAAAGCATTACGTGCGTATCACGTGGGCTGCAAAAGTCTGGCTACAATTGGTAGTTCGTACAAAATGTCCAATTCCATCAAGATATGAGGTACGTGATTCCACAGACGAAGTGAAATTAAAAACTGCGTCGTAGAGCACCGCAAGAGCCTTGGTTTGACACTGCAGGGTAAAGTGGTGGTAATCGGTGCAGTAGATAAATGTGAAGATGGAGGGGCGGGAAGTGTGGTGCCGTACTGCCGTGGGAGACCAGAAAGTACGAAGAAACACCAACTGTAAACCGGTCACAGTGGAATCTAAACGGCACAATTAGCACGGTACCGAGGTAAACTAAGACGTAGGGTTTAACTCAAAACAATGGTTGAGATGAGTGCTGAAATAGACACTAATACAAGTGGCGTATAATGAACGGAATCATGACGCCAAGATTGAACTGAAACGGAAGGATAGTTTTGAAAAAATGATGTTATGGAGGAGACGATAAGAGAACGTAATCGATGGGTTTAATCCCCCATTGACGCCAATAAAGTGCTAGCCTTGAGCAGGAATAAATAGCCGAATGGAATCCGATGTCTGACTGATGCCAGTTAAACAGGGAACAGTTTTAAGGGTCACCGCTAGCTACAGAAATGGGCCCTCTTCAATCAGCTGAAGGAGCCGAAGATTCAGATGATGGGCCACAGCATGGGAGCAGATAGAAGAATATTACTGGGGACAAAACGGCTTTTGTCACGGTGTTCAGTAAGCTAGTTACTGTGCTCAAGTGCGTTGTTAAAGCAGGGAGCGTATTAGCGCGGTCTAATGTCTAGTAGCTGATGCCAACCCCCTCGACACCAGGTCAACTCCGGAACACGGCGAATAATGATCCTGTAAAGTGGTAAAATAGCCGGGTAGTGCTGACGCTCGCAGTGGACCTAGAAAATAATGTTCTGCAGCCAGAGACACCAGTATGAATACCAACAAATAAGATAGACATTTAGATGGACGACGGAACGCCAAACACTCTCAGAGTCATGGTTTGATGGCGTTGACGAAGAGGCTGCATACGTCGCGTGGTGAGTCAATGAAGGCAAACAATGTTACTCGGAATACCAATCTAAGGGTCCGAAGAGCACAACGCACTAGGGCAGAATGCGAGATGGACATGCTGTCCAAAATTGGTGATAGGCAGTTTTCCAAAACCTGGATCAGTGATAAATAGCTCATGAAAGAGCAAATGCAATCCAATTCGCATAGTGTAGACACTGGAACAAGCAAGGAAATCGTGCTCCCTTAAAGTGGCTCACATTTAGGTTAAATGATCGTATCATCTGATACAGTGGGTAACAATAGCTATCAAAGAGACGATCAAGCGCGTAAATGCAAGCAAGTTGGTTGATCACGTGATAGCGGTGTGACTATCGTCAGATTGGCGCCAGTAGAAAGGCAGTCAGGTGGATTAAGGAATTTCGAGCAATGCAGAGAAAGAAAGCTCCTAACGAGCACAGGTAGGTGGTATCTTATTATGTAATATCGATGGGTTTGGGCATAAAACGGTAACTTTCGGCAAAACCGTACAAAATACGCAGCATGATGAAACCACTGCGATTAAGCAGACGGTATACGAAGTACCAGGTAACTAAGTAAGCCGATCGACCGTTTCGAGCGGTCCAGCAATGATTATAGAAACTGGTGGCGTGTCGACTAGTCCTGTAGCGATAGTTCCCCACATGAAGGTTGGAATCACACGCCTAAACGTAAAGCGCCACACCTGTCTGTGTCGTTAATCCACAAGCAAGGTACGCATAGCAGATTCAAGGGTGATGATAAACTTGGGACAGTAATAATTACGATATACAAAGTTTAGTCGCGAGTAACTGATCTACATACAAAAATAAGAACGCACAGCTGAGCGTTTTAAGGCAATTCGTTCCTTTCCAAACTTTGAGAAATGTGGCAAGAAGACGGAAACTGGCAGGCGTATATACTACATGCTCTGGTCAGTACTAGCAACAGCCGTCATGGATCACAGAAAATCCCCGCTTTCGTCGATTCACGGGGCTATGCAGATAAGCCGGAGTAAGTTAACTCCGTCTAGTCAAACCAATTAGATAGTTCTACGCTGAACATGCACTAATTAATTTTCAACTCAGGTTTGTTCAGTCGCATCTACCAGGTAAGATAAAACGCATGTAGCTGCTCACTGTGACTGACAATTCCGCTTTCGTTATGCCATTTAGAAAGCCATCTTGTCTGACAAGTGATCTATTCAGCAAAGTCGTGCCGTGGACAGCCAGTACCAGGATGTAGCTGATGAAAGCTGCGGGTCATGTATCAAAGTTGTGATATATACAGAGTCCCATAGAGTGAACGTTTTAAGGTAGACTCATGAGTTTTGTACTCGCACCAGTCCAATTAGCGTCCGATAACCCATCCATCCAGGCTGCGGAATACAGCAGAATGATTTATCCAAACGGAGCGATTTGAAGAACCTAACAAGTGCTGCAGTGTGTTGCATCTTATCAGTACGTAAACGTAAGGCAAACGGTGATGAGTTCAGATAAAAGAACTTGCCCAGGGATAATCTACAAAGGCAAAAGTCAGTCAAAGGAAGGTGATTTATTTCCGACGCGTGGTAAAGTGAGGAGAAAACAGTCAGTTCAACAGCAACGGTAGTAGTTAATGGCTGAAAGGTGAAAACTGAATGATGAAAACAAGCCCAGAAAGCCACAAAGGTGCGTTACTCATCGTCGGAGTGAAGAAATGGAAAGAGACACTGAAGAATCAACGCTGGAGTTTCTATGAGAGCAGACAATAAAGTTACTAACCTTTCTTTTTCTTTTTCTTCTCTTCCTTCCCTGGTGGAGTCGGAAGGGGTTTTGAAATGGGGAACACCGGCCTGTCATTTTCGCGACTAGAATAAGAAAAAGCACCCATATCGTCTAATGAAAGTCAGGCGAATAAAGCCAGATTAGATAAAAGCAAACTGACATTATGCAGGTGGTAAACTGCATGCGAGCAGAACAAATATAGATTTCACAACGCTTATTGAAAGAAACGGAGTAAACGTGGGAGGAAAGAAGGAATGAGGCGGATAGAGGTTGAATTCCTTGACACACAAGAAAGCATAGACTCAACTCAAATGGAAAATCAAGCTGAGGACACGAGTGCGTGGTTGTAAATAAGTATGAATGTTGATTCCGTTCAATGTACACGAAGTAAATCATACATGGATGACCGAAGTGGGGATTTAAATGCAAGGAGTGAAACTGTCCCAGGTTACTGTGGTAAAGAGCTCGTGTTGATGGACTCAGCGCTAAGAAAACTGTCGAGTCAGGGTAAGTTTGTGGCACCTGAGCAACGCGATCGTCGGCTGTGCAGTAGAAGGCACTGCCCGTGGATGACGGATTGACAATTCAATAAGCAACATTATACACTGCCTATTACCGCACTGAAGATGCCACCTCGCATGGTGGTAAAACGTATGCCATCTCTTTACCAAGCTCGGAAAAACGATCAACAGGTGAGAAGGCACTGTATTCAACGTGGGGGGCTATCACTGATAACGAAACCTGAAGGTTCTGTTACTGCAAGTACACCACCACTACTGGCATCGGCTGCCGCACGAGTGCTAAGGCTCGCTTAGTTGCAAGGTACTACCAGTCTCTTCTCGCCAACATGCCTTAAAGTGACGATTTAGTAGGACCGAAAAAGAGGGTATCGGCCATCCAAGCCAACAGGATGTTTATGCTGTGTAGACATCCCATGAAACCCAACGATTAAAAATGGGGTGGACCACGTATACAAAATCTTGAAGACAATTTCATTAGCGTCATATCTTGAAATTAAAGTGTCGAGGTAAGGATTTCAGAAGGAAGCATTGGCCGTTTGGCTGTACAAGTTGCAATATGATGGTACTAAGCATGATCGAAAACAGTGCATCAGCACAATGTACTACTGCTTAATTGCCAGATGCCAACAGCATACCAGTAACCCGTGTTGATGTTGCGCTGCTATGCTTTCACACATAACCCCACGTTAGTTGTTACCCAGAAGGGGCGTTCAAATATGTGCAGGAGGACGAACCCGACACCGGCGCATAGAATAAGCAGTCGCAGACGAGAAATGTGTAGCTAACGGAGGCCAGATGAACAAACTCGATATATATATATATATATATATATATATATATATATATATATATATATAATTTTCACTTTAAACCAGATGGCCTACAAAACACATTCGAAGCTTTGCAAACCAAAGCTGACATTTATGCAAATTCCTTTGGACGTTTTGCAAACCACCTTGGACATCTTGCAAAACAAATTGGACATTTTGCAAAGCGAATTGGACACATTGCATCCTAAGCAGAAAGTCAGCAATTCGCTGACAGTAAATGAGTAGAGACCAGACAATATGCAGACTACATTGTAGTCATGCTAATGCAACCGAATTATGTAAGCAGCGGGTGCCATTGCAAACCCTTCTTTTGATCGTGAACTTCGATCATCTTGATCAAAGGATGTGACTAAGTTTCCCCCTCTCTCGGCATCGGCATTCGCGTAGTTCATGGACCTGTTTTCACGTATGAACCTCTACAGCTGCGTGATTAGTGGGAATTCAGACTGCCGAATCGCGTAGTCTATTAGGACTTAAACAAAGGTTATCTAGCTTTGGATGGTCATTGTGAAGCACTTGTTTTGTGAAGGAATTGTCATGTGCAATGTTGATGTGGACCGCGATTCCTAATGAAGCAACCTTTAGCCAAGTCGATCACTGGGACCGTAGCTGATGTAGCGAATAGGCGGTGACCCAGTAGTCCCCTGTCACCCTATGGGCCATCGCGTATTTACTGTGGATGTGTGCGCAAACCCATGTAACTGCTGGACTATTGGAGTAGTGCATGCTAGCATGACTCCACCAAACCCACTACAGCTTTACTGGCTTACTGTGGCAGATTTTTATGAGTGACGCTGGACTTTAAGGTGGTGCGATAGTGTGTGCCTCAGCGATCCACTGAGCTGTGCTGAGTGGTGCTTCTCGCACCACCAGAGTCGATGGTTAGAGGCCAGACAAACTCAGCCTCCTGGTCCTCCAGTTTGGGGGTTGGAGTGAGGATAGTTCCTTATTCTTTAAAACGGACTTCTTGTAGTTCACTATCAAAGCCGCTGCCTTGCGGCCAGATTTTCGAACCAAAGGCTTTGGCTGAGAACCTTAATCGCTCTCCTGTCTTGGCACGCGCAACCTGATTATCTTGTCCACCCAATACCATGAATTTCTCTTCAAACAATTTAATGATGCTCTGGCCTTATCTGTTGCGTCGAGCGTAGTGGATGCGGGTCTGGATGCTACCGCTTAAGCCTTACCGCTTTCTTGTGCCCCCTCTTATGTTTTCCCATTTTTATCGTCTCGTCACCCCTGCATGCAACCTCTCAATACTTGGCCCTGCCACACCTTGCTTAGATAGGCGCTTATCTGCTATCTTCAACTAAAACGCGATCACGCAGCGTCACTCCTGCCATGCCGACAAGCCCATGTCCAACAAAGTGGACAACCCTAATCCATCGGCTTCTATTTGGAGCCCTCGATCCTTCCTACTAATGATTCGCCGACAGGCATCACTTTCACGAAAATTGGAGACCCTTTCGATCGAAATCTGCTGCCAATCGGAAGCTTGTCTGCAAGACTCGAGCTCTGTGCTCACTCTGAGATCCCCTTCAGGTGACACCAGAAGTGTTTTTTCATTGTGTCTATCCGGATATGATGCAGCTTTGAGGACCGGCCAAGCCGGTGTTCCTGTTGCCTTGAGTCCCCGGGCTAAAGCTGCTCTGGTTGATTGGATCCCAATTAGTAGCCGGATGTGTGTCGTTCGATTTGCTGGCTCGTTTAAAGCATCGAAGTCGTGCGCGGGGCTAATAAGTGCCTGCTTGTCATCTCTGCCTACGCCCCCACAAACTGTAGCGCTGACTCGGTGAAAGACGACATTTATCGCCAACTGAACGAGCTACTTCGTCACAGAAAAAACACGGACACTGCAGTACTGGTTAGGGATCTGAACGCTTAAGGTGGAAAATTGTCCACTGGTAGCTTCATGTGGACGGTCAACATGGGGTAGGCTCCCGTAGTGGTAACGGTGAGTGGTTGCTACACCTGTGTGAAGATGATCGTCTCTTTCATGCGAACACTAACTTTCGACACAGTACTAGCCGGAGGGTGACATGGTGCCCACGAGCCTCGGACCAGCCATAGACGCAAATCGATCACATTGCGATCAGTTACCGCTGGAGAGTCTACGTCCAAAACTGCCACTCGATTTGGAGCACTGATCATGGGCATGTATGTACTAATCTGTGGGTGTGTTTTGGCGGACAGCCGCGATGACGCTGTGAACGCATAGACAGCCGCAAACTGGCGAAGCCAGACGTTCTGAATGCGTATCGAAGTATGCAGTTGGTCGCACGTTCACCAGATCTTATTAGCAGAAGGCAAAACCTCATGTGTTAAACCTAATTTCCAACATAGATATTGGGGCTTCTTAATGCAGTTTCTAGAAATTCTGGATGCTCGCTGGTATATTCACGCTATGAGCGAATACAATGAAATCCGCAAATATCAGGGCAAAACTCCGTGCTAGCCTGAAGAGATACTGCTAATCCTGGTGATCACGTCGTGCGTCAGAGATGAAAGTGGCGCTGTCTTTGGTAACCATCGGAAATTATCCCGCCTGACACGAGAAACGGGCAGCAGTAGACCTGGTGTTACTGAAACTATTTGTAACGATAGTGGACACCCAATCCACAAGTTGACAAAACGTTTGGAGCGTTGCGCGGAGCACTTTGGAAAGCAACACAATCGGGCGGAATTGTCACATTTCTCGTCGACCAATGATCGCCTTGCTCTCTGGGCTGTCCTTTTAAATCCGCCCTCTAGCTTAAGACTCGAACGTGAGATCGGACTGCAGAAGTTGAATATGGCCGCAGGACCAGCCCTCTTCAAATTCGAGGGCCTGCTCTAGTGAATAAGTTACATGAGTTACTAGTGAAATGTAGGAGCAGGAAACTGTCCCAACCGACTGGAGCTGTTCCGTTATTGTTCTGACCTTCAAGGGAGGCTGCTGATCGGAATGCAGCAACCATAGGGGAATCAGTCTGATCGCCATCGCCTCTAAGTTGCTTACCTCTGTCATCCTCCAGATTCGTGAGGAGCAAGCTGGGTTTCATCGAGGTCGGGGCTACATCGATCACATATTCACTATACGTCAGTTGTTGGAGCACCGTCACATATAGTGACGGTCCACGGTAGTCATGTTCCTCGACATCAAAGGCGCCTTCGATTCGATGAATCGATGTGTTCTTTAGAATTGTGTACTCAGGAAAGGTGCCCGAGAAATAAGTAAATATTATCCGAGCGCTTTATGCGCGTAGCTCGGGCAGAGTAAGGGCTTATGCCAAGTTGTCGCCGCCCTCCAATTTCTCCAGCGGTATAAGACAATGATGCCCGTTGTCACGCTTCCTTTTCGACTTTGCTATTGACGAAGTCGTGGAAATCGCGTTCCCTGGATACGACTTATCATCAACAGCAGTACATCAGCCATTTGAACTGATGCTTCGCTGCCATACAACCATGAGCACCTATGGAATAAAGAATAAGAAGAGGGAGAGAAGGGGGACTTACCTGAAAACCTTAATGCTCTAAGCAAACATTCAGGGTCAAGGTGTCTACATCTTGTGTAGACAACATACCGTCACAAACAGCTGGCTATCGTGCAAAGATAAGGCGGCATCGGCGAGACAGCTTCCTTGCGGCTTTCACTGCCACGCGTCATAATCAGCCATTACCCCGCAGATAACTCAGCACCAAACACACTTTAAACAGACAATCCGATTAGGAGACGGCAGCAGACGCGCCACT